TTGGGTGTGTGAAAATTATAAAACGTCTTATTTCTCATAGTTTGCGTTTTTTTCACTCCTTCGTTGTTGTTGTTGTTTTATACTTTGCTGCGAAATTGCATACGAAATTTGTGCTGCACAAACACACTCACACATTCAAAAACTCAAAAAGGGCGCTGAATGTTGTAGAAAATGACCAAATGCAGAGAGATATAATGCAATACATATACGAATATATATATATATATATATATATATATGTATATATACACATTGCGGTAAATACAACTAAACGCTAAATGCCCGCTAACCACGGGGTAAGAGTAAAAGCCACAATTTATAAATTGGTCGAAAAAGCGCTGGGATCGCCTTATTTGTTTGCTGTGCCGCCATTAAGTGAAAGTGCAAAATCGATGAAGTGAAGCCGAAAGCAAACCAAAAAAGGTGTAGAAAAAAAAATTAAGCAAAATCAGTTAGTATTTATCGTTAACTCGAACGCTCGGCTATTGAGAGAGCGTATTTAAATGTTAAATCAAACGAAAAATCTGTTTTCTTCTTCTTATACGATACATATCTATAGTCATCTTTTATATATGTATGTGTATGGTAATAAGCGTACAAAATTTTTTTTTTTCTGTTTTCGTCAACCAATAAAGTTTCCGTTCAGTTTGCCCAATTTATTTTCCTTCTTTGTGTAAGTTACATCATCGCTGTTGTTGTTGATTTTATATCAGAGAAAGCAATATTTAGCGCTCTTCTCCTCGCCGCGACTTAATTATATAATTTTATTATCAGCAATGTCGGCTGATCTCGGATGAAATCATTTATTGATGCGCTCAACACATTTTTAAACGAGTTGCCATGTGTGTGACTACCGCGCCGACTGGAATGAAATCACAGCCGAAGGAAAATATTAACAAATTTTCGAAAAAGATTACCAATTCTCAAACTAAAATCTAAGTAATATTTGTTATTGACTATCTTTCATGTGGAGCCATACATTACTCTAATGCTACTCTATCTGGTTCTTATAAACTGCTTCCTTTATAAATTATTTATACTCATTTCTAATGCGCGTGTGAATTTACGGAAGATGTAATATATGCAGCTTAATCCTCCTAGTTAAATACTCATAATCTCTTCTGAGCCTATAACACCAAACAATATAAAAAATTTCTTCTCTGAAAGAGACCTACCCTGCTTTCTGTTTAGTATCAACTAGCCTTTGATTGTCAAACCTATCTTTCGAAAGAATATTACTATTTTTCCAAAGCACTTTACTTAGAGTATTCATTAACGGAAATCTATTTAGATACAAGCCCTTTTTTATTATCCAAAGGATGCCAATTTTTTTCACCTCTTCCAGTTTCTCAGTGTTCTCCAAATCTCATATTTTCCCACAAATCTCATAATGGTAATTTGCAGCATTGTTTTAATACCTCGACTGTATTTCTGTTATGTTAGTTCCGACTTAGTTTTATCTACCCTTATATGTAACTACATCTACCCTTCATCTAGACTTGACTTTTTGAGAGATTCTGAGAGATCTTCATCTTTATTTAGGATTCAATAGTTCGTTTGATTTCGTTGCTCAAGTTGTTTTATTATTTAAGATAATAATAATTTGTTCTATTTGCTATATCTTTGGGTTTAAGCCTTTTCTTTTGTGTTCCCTCCCTTCTTTTTGTATTCACGACTTTATAGTCTTATAAAATGGGTACTTTTTTTTGAACAAGGCCGTTAGAGCGTGTATACCACAATATAATAATTTCGAGTCATTCTTCGAGACTCGAACATCTAAAACATTGAAGTAACACGATAAATTTGTTGAATCTACTTGTATAGTAAACCTTTTTTTATAACCAAAGTAATTGGTTAATTTTCAGTTAAGTTTCAGTTAGTTGGTGACATATTCTTAGTAGAAGCCGATTTTCCCTGCTTTGGTACCTTAGTGCCTTACGCTCTTGCCACAAATTTCTACTCTATTAAACGGTAATACTTCTCACCGACTCAAATAAAAACTTGAAGTTTAGTCGCAAAATTAGAAAGTAACTAGAGTAGACGAGCATGCAAAACTTGTACAAATCTAAGAGAATAACAGCGAACCAGACAAGAATAAGGCGCTCAACCGCCAAAGTAAAAAAAGAAACGCGCTAGTTATAATATCAGTCGTTCGAATAGTTAGACCGAGTAGTGCGTTGCAATGCAACAACAACTACCAACAACTAACCGCATAAAGACGCCAGTTTGTCTAGCTACGCAGACGGTGAAAATTTGCAAGAAACGAAAAGAATAACAGAAAAGTAGATAAAAAAAAAAACAAAATAAGCACATTTAGAATACAAGAGAACAGATGTTCAGCAGCAAGTTTAATGTATGAATACTACACTGCGCGACATTGATTTAGGTACATACTGTTTGCTAGAAAATCAAAATGAAAGCTACGTTAGTGGAAAATTTTCGAAATATGTATATGGTTAGGTATTTAAGTGCGTATGTCATATCCATGTTCTTGATAAGAAAGCCTTGCCAAAACATAAGAAGGGGTTTATTGACAATTCTATTTCAGCACCCTAAAAATTTTGATTTCTGTGACCAACAGGCCACTTCGATTACTCGACCTTCATAATAAAACTACATTAAAATTTATAGCAATATTATTATATTGAATTTACTCTATCAAGATGGTTTTTTTTTCAAACATGTGGCATTCTTCTTCAAAAATAACTTAAAAATTTTGTTTAATCCGTTTACTTTGATGCGCAATTTATTATATTTCATGTATTTGCTAATATTATTAAAAATATAATAAATATTTTTGAACACGTGGCAACTTTTTTCTTAATTTTTCTCAACTTAAAACTTCTTTTTTTGAAAAAAAATTTCAACTGAAATAACTTTTGACTACTTCAAATTTTGCAGCAATATTTTTTTATCAAACACGTGGCAACTCTTTTTTAAAATTACTTTGAAATTTTTTTAAATCTGTTCATTTTGTTGTTAATTTCATAATATTTCATTTATTTGATCATTTTAGTTGATTAAAAAATTTTAACCAGTGGCAACTCTTTTATTTTGCTAGCTATAAGACTCTTAAATCTCTTCAGTTTGATGTTTAATTAAAAACATTTTTTTATTTAACTTTTTAGTATGAATGAGTTTTTTTTAACAGTTGGCAGCGCTGTTCGAAAAAACTATTTTCAACTCTAAACCTCTTCAATCTTCTTCAAGTTGAAAATCCATGTAGTAGTATTCTTTATGTTATTATTTTCTTTTTTACTAAATTCTTCTTAAAGTTATTATTTTTTGAACGAAAAATTTTAAACTGGTGGGTATTTTTTAAGAAACACAAATAGCCAAATCGGTTTAAACTATACAGGTTGCACAAGGTTTTTGTTTCAAACGCACAGTTATGAAATATTCACTGATTTCAAATAAATTTCCAATTTTTTTTTTGTATAAAGTGTGTTTAAGCAAATTTCGCACACTGTATCAGCTTAGGGCAATGTGTAGATTTTAGTATCGAAACAGAAAAAGCATACGCAAATAACAAAACATAGACCATAAGAAAAGAATAACAAGCTAAAGAACAAGACCGAACGCCATCAAAGCCTCGGCAAATAAAAACCACAATAAATTACAAAAGACTTAAGACAGCAACGCATAAAGTCCAAGTAGTGATTTCCCAAGCCAAAAGTCAACTTGAAACGATGCGCCAGATGACTTCGTCGTTGTTGAGCCGACGACTTTTAATTCTGCCTTTATATAACCGCCTTAAAGCAAAGCCTGTGCGCTCATTAATGCCAAAACTAAGCGGCGCGTAAAAACAATTCTCAGCCATAAAATCGCATGCTGGCAAGCATTATATATGTCTGCCAGAACCTGAAGTCGGTGAGTAGAATCATCTGTCTAACGTTACTAAAGAGCTAAAAATTAAGGTGATGAGTTAGTTTGAGGGGTGAAGAAGCACTTCTAGACGATTTTAGTGGCATTTAGCAAACAAATGTTCTACTTTCACCAAACGCTGCAGAGTCGACTAGCCGCCCAGCCGCATTTAATTGAGCTCAACCGCAAGTGGTCGCGTGTCGTCCACAAAACAGCGGCACTCAGTCAAACATATGCGCAATGTGGCGAGAACAACTTGCGCATACACAAACAACAATAACAAGAGGAAAAAAACAAGCGGCGCATACGCAAGTGCATAAAAAGAGCAAAGCTTGCGAAAATTAGTCAACGAACATCGAAAATGTAGTCTGTTGTGCTTTTTTTTATTATGATTTCCTACTAAAGTCTAGGTGGTCACGCATGCGCCGCGCACCTGCGGTTGTACTCATGTGCGGCAAAACTCTCACGCTTTCTCTCATTGCGGACAAGACGCAAGACACTCTCTGTTGTTGTGCTACGTAGTTCTAGTGCGAGCAGATGTTTTTTGTTATCTATTTTAGCTTGTTTTCGGTCTGTGCAGACAGACATTATGGCAACAACACGCAAATTATAGTCATACGAAGAGTTGTGGGAGAGGAGGATGTTGGCATGTACTTCTCTATAGCAACGATGGTTTTGATCATTTCTGTTGATATTTAAATACATATGATATAAAATAATTAAAAATGATAAATGTGACTGATTGGTAAAAACCCTAAGGGATCGCAGGAAAGAAGTTGAAAGCAGGGGAAACCTTTTTTTTGAGTCGAAATCTGTCCTTAATCAAAACAAATAATTAATACATATCTCTTATAATACAAATTAACTATTTGTCCTCGTTATGAATTCGCAATTAAACGTAAATCGTCTACAGAACATAAAAATATTCCTTTTGTTGTTGTAAAAACCCTTAAAACATAGGGACTTTCTTTCAACCAAAAATAATAAGTCACAAAACTCTGACACTTCCTTTCAAGCAAGGCTTTCAACCAGACCAGAGAAGGTTAATGAATATTTTCATATTATTTCCCTCATTATTGATATTTTCTTGTCAGAAGTCAATTTCTTTCGTTTTTATTGTTTCAATTTTTGTTTATGCGCATATCAAAGAACATCTGTGCATATGTATGTGTATACATTTTGCTTATAGAGTGGTGTAGTTCGTTGCGTAAATTGATAGAATGGTGAAATTTGATTTTCGAACTTGCGCGTTTTCCATGTTCCCTCATAGCAATTTACATTTTAGAACAGCTAACATTTGCTCCTTCTCTATTCATTAACATTCTTTGACCAGACCACTTTTTTGAAATTTTTTTTTAACAGAAATTTATCCACATTTTAAATCATGCTTAGCAGCGACACAATCCAATTTTTAATTTCTTATTCCTATTGCCACCCAGTGTTTCGTTCTATTTCTCACCTTATCTCAATCAGCTGTTGCGCCAACTCAGCTGTGTGCATTTTGTCGACGCGCTCGAAAAAACAAGTGCTAAGTAAATTTGTTTAAATATTTTAGATTAAAATATCATCAAAATGGATTTAGAGAATGAACGCGTGCTAAAATTGATTTTTCCGGAAGGTTTGCCAGGTTTGTAAATAGTTAAAAGTGCAAAGTAAAGTTTATAATAAGTATGCATTTATTTACAGAGAACCTGCGCGACAATCCAGAACTTTACAGTTATTTAGCTAATTTGGGCACCTACAAGGTAGAGCAACTGAAAAAGGAGCAAGCGCGTTTGGCCGACGAAAACAAACGTATTGTGGAGCAGACGCAGGAGTTGGCCATTTCCAATTATAAAACATTTATACATACAGCCGAGAATTCGCGTTCAATTTTTACGGAATTCAAAAATACGGAAGAACAAGTAAGCACCTTGCTGGATAAATTGCCCGTTTTTACGGCGGAGTGTGAAAATTTTCTCGCTAAAGCGGAAGATATAAATGAGGAAAGACGCATTAATTCGATTACATTGAAGAAGAATGCACAGCTGCTGGAAATACTTGAGCTGCCGCAGCTGATGGAGCGTTGCATACGTGAGGGTCGCTATGAAGAAGCATTGGAACTGGCAAGTTATGTGCAGAAATTAGGACACAACCATAGCGATATAGCCATTATAAAGGTGGGAGAAGTTTATTAGCACTAAATATATATTAATTACCATAATTATTCTTTCAGAGTATTGTACATTCGGTGGAGGCGCTTTGGCACACAATGTTAGTGCAGTTAGTGGCGCAGTTGCGCACTGACTTACAGTTGCCTAAATGCTTACAAATTGTTGGTTATTTAAGACGCATGCAAGCATTTAGCAATAATGAATTGAAGTTGAAGTTTCTGCAAGCGCGTGATACCTGGCTTAAAAGCACACTGAAAGCGATAGCCCAGGATGATGGTGCGTTTGTTTGTAGTATTTTATTATTTAATGACTTTTATTTATTCCGAATTCGTGTCTGTAATTTTCCAGCTCAACAGCATTTGACCAAAACCATTGAGGTTACACGCATTAATTTATTTAATATTATAACACAATATCGCGCGATATTTCCCGATGATGAACCGAGCGCAGTTACAGCCGCCAAACCAATGCAAGGGGTGACTTGTGAGGGTGAGCGTTTGTTTCAGGCATGGCTGCATAGGAAGGTTAGTAACAAATGTTATTTTTTATAACTTTATTTTATAATTTTGGAAAAATAAGTGTTGTGTATTCTTTTTTTTTTTAATTTACAACAAACAAAATTACTTTAATAAATAATGCATTAAAAATATTGAATTAACATTTGTATTAAATTTTATTTTTGTAATGAAAATCTTAGTCAAAAGTAATTTTTAAAATGTTAATCTCAAATGCTCTCATTTTTAATCCGAAAAACGTGATAAATAGTTACAAATTAGATTTTTAATCCTAAATATGGTTAGAAAAAAGATGTTAACCCATGTTTATAGTAAAAAATAATTAAAATACATTGTTTTAGAATTAATATTTTCCCGCGTTTGCGTACTTCGTGTTTTACCAGTTTGGTTAACTTTTGACAAGGAAAGTTTATTTTTTAAAAAAATCTTAGCTCTTTTGTCTTATTTGTATTAAAATGCTGTTAATTATAGTGTTTCAGTTAGAAATATATGAAATTTTAGTTTTTACTACTTTTTTATTTGAAACATTTTTTGCTATATGTTATCTAAATCTAATTTTGAAAATTTAAAATATTTTTCAACTTTTTATTTTTATTAATTTTTTTATTTTTATTAACTTTTTTATTAATCCCAAATAGCTTGGATTTCAATTTATAATATTATTTTTAAATTAAAAAGTAAAATTTTAATCACAAAAAAAATCACAAAAAGTAAAATTAATCACAAAATCAGAATAATCCCAGAATCAGAGTTAAAAATTGAAAATTTACTTATTAATCGCAAAATTGCAATAGAAAATTTTAAATAAATTTATTAAAAATTGAAAATCTAAGTTTTTCGCGTAATTAATAATTGAAAATATATTAAAAAAATTTCTTTTTAATTCAAATAATACGCAACTGGTCAAAATTACTTGAAATTTCATTATTTTTACAATTCTAAGCTGAAGTTAGGTTAGCTTCTAACTGAAATAGTTCCAAACTCTTATCAGCTGCTGCCAACAACAAAAACCGCTATAAATAAAAATTAAATTTTTTCAGATCGACGATTTTTTGCACACTTTAGAATCCGATCTAGAGCGTGGCATCAGCTCATTTGACACTGTACTCGGCCAGTGCATGTATTTCGGCCTCTCCTTCAGTCGCGTTGGCGCCGATTTTCGTGGCCTAATGGTGCCCATCTTTTTGCGTGTTATACGGCGAAATTTCAGTAACGCAATTTCAACAGTGAATCAAAGTTTTGCGCAACAGCTCGAACGTTATACGCTCATTAATAAAGTAACATTACATACACATGGACACAAGGTGGATACAGTGACAGCCAGCAATAATTCGACTACTGCACAGGAGCAGGAATCGTATGCACCACCAGAAACTTTGCTGGATTTCCATCCGTTAGCCTCACTCTGCAATGGCTACTTAAATGCGTTGAATGAATTGCGGCTTTGTGCGCCCATCGCCTTGGCAAATGACGTCACACGCGCGCTACAATCGTCACTGGAATTTGTCGCCACCAAAGTATTGAGTTTCTATCGACAGGAGCAGCAGGCATTCACTAGTGCCGAGCGTGAGACATTCGTCAAGTTGTGCTGCTGCTTGGCTTACGATTTAATACCATATATACAGCGTTGCATACACGCCATATTTCCACAACAGACACTCACCAATCATTTGGGTATCAATTTGTTGACGTTGGAGCAAGAAAAGATTACTTACTTGCAGCAACAAAAGATATTGGAGCCACTTAGACATTTGTTGCCCAACAAAATACACGAAGTATTGCTTAAGCCAGAGCAGGCGCCAACGACAGTGGCAACAGCGGCAGCGCAGAGCGATACGAACGCTGTGTCTGCCGAAAGTTAAGCGAATAGCAGTAAATTTTGGCATATATATTAAACTATAATATACGCGTATAACGAAATAAACTTAAGCAGTCTTTAAGCTACATATTAATAAATAATATATACATTGATGCATATAAAACCAAGCTGTAATACATACAAATGCATGTTCATTTATATGCTTGCCACAACTGACCACAAATGCCAAATTCATATGAGTCACCAACAACAAACCACCCTCACAACATTTCATACAGTTTAATAAGTACATACATGTGTAATATAAGTGCATACATATACCATTGCACCACAACAACAACAATTACAACATAATGTAATTTATGAATTACAATTAAAAAGGAAAAATTAGCCACATGAGCTGAAGCGCAAACAAGCTGAGCATCATCAGCGTACGCCACATACACATCTGTACATAAATACATACATATATACATACCGCCACCCACTACTACTCATTCATCCGCACATTCAACTATCCATTCATTTAACCTCATCCTCACACACACATATACATATATATATATATATATATATATTTCTAATATTTGCGGCACTGCCGATTGCTCGAAGTTTTATTTCACTACTTTGGTGTTTGTGCTTTGGTCATCATTTTTGTGCAGCTGGTGTAATAAAACTCCCCATTTGGTCATTTGGCAATTATCCCGATAAATTAGCCGAAATAGTAGCGTTGCCCCAGCCAGCAAGCTGGCTAACTGTCAGAACAATAGCTGAAAATCAAATAAATGAGCAGCAGCAGTAGCAAATAACAACAACAACAACATTAACACCACATCGCTGTACTCAAAGGTTCGTATGGCTTGTATGTTCGTTTGTGTGTTGTAGTAGTAGTAGCATAGTAGCTGACAAAATCGACAAATGAATGGACGAGTAGATAATTTTCGCATTTATAAAAAGGACAATGCGCTTAAGTAGCGCCAAAATGACAGCACACTCGTTGTGGAGGAAGGGTGGGAGTATGATATGTGTGTGAATGCACGCGTGTTTTGGATATTTTTCGAATATTGCCACATGTACTTGTACATAACGATATTTATGTGTACATTTATATTTGGCAATTATCTCTTTGGATATACATACATATGTACATTCGCTGTTACTTTTATTACTTTATATACTTTATATGAAATGAGTTTGTTTGTGACAGCCTAAAAAATGCGACTTTTGAGAATCACAAAAAAATCTACTGTAAAATTTGTTTTTAAATCTTAAGTGTATTATTTATGCCCATAATTATGAAAGTAATCTAAGTCAAAATTAAAAAAAAAAAAAAATTAATTATCACTGATTTCACACGACATGATTTGAAACTAAATTTATTCAATGAAATTTTTACGATATCGTCAAAAATTAATCTTTAGATAGTAGTTGTAATTACCACGTTATACGGAATACATTTAGTGTTAATCATGAAAGTGGTCTAAGTCAACAACTTAAAGAAATTATATAAAAATTGTAGAAAAAGAAATACTTTTTTGAGCAAACGAATGTCGCAGCTGGATTATATTTCAACGAAATCACTTGAAAAATCAATAACAAATAGAGTAAATAATACCGTGGGCGAAACTGTCTCTTGGCTAACAATTCAATGAATGAGATTCCTGAAAAATGAACCTTACAAGTATAAAATGTTTTATACGGCTTCTTCAGATGATTTTGGTTTCCAAGTTTTGGATCTTTCACCTAAAAGAGGAAGACCAAAAATATACGAAAATATTCAATTACTTCCATTATACAAGACCGCTAGGTCAGTAACGGAAGAAAAACATAAAGATCTTATGTGTTTACTACCATACATCCCTCCAGTTTTTTGGGAACATTTTAAAAATCTTAAAAACTCGAAATTATGATAAAAACGGATTGCTTTTAAAAATGATTAATAAATATTTATGAATTATTTCGTTAAAGTTGTTGTTTTAAGTAAAAATCATAATTTTTTATTACTTTAAGTCCATTTTAGGACATTCAGTCAGTTTTGATAATGGTCTAAGTCAATTCAAGCTCGAAAAGCAACATTTTCCTATGAAATTCACCAAAATTTTTATATCTATAATAAATTTCTATTGATTAAGGCTAAGAAAATTATAAATTAAAATGTCGCATAATGTAAAATTATTTTTGAATTTATTCAAATGCGATTCATTAAATATCTCGAAACGAAAAATATATGACCTAGACCACTTTCATAGTTATGGGCACATTTATACATATTTTAAAAATACATAGTAAAATTTTGAAGAAAAAAGTTAAATATTTTTCGAGTTACACGTCAACTCCGGCGGCGCTAAAATACAGGACCTTCACTGTTGCAGTGATTCCGATTTTCTCCGTGGCTTAAACCTAAAAAAAAAAACTAGAAAAAACGTTAACTTTCTTTGCACCGAAGCTATAATACACTTTTCAAATACAAAAGATTCCTTATAAAAACTTGATTTTGATCGGCCAGTTTGTATGGCAGCTATATGCTATAATGATCCGTTCTGAACAATTTTCTCGGAGATTGCAATATTGCCTCAAGTAATAACCTCTGTCAAATTGCTTGAAGATATCTCGTCAAATAAAAAGCTTTTCATAGAAGCACTTGATTCCCATCATTCGGTTTGTATGGCAGATATATGTTATAGTGGTCCAATATCGGCAGTTTCAACAAATGAGAAGCTTTTTGGGGAGAAAAAAAATTAGGAACTAGTTCGTGTAAATACAGACAGACAGGTATGGTTAAAGCGACTCAGCTGATAAGGCCGATCATTTATATATTGTATATATATATATTATAGGGTATTACAAACTTCGTGGCTAACTTAATATACCCTGTTCATGGTATAAAGATATAGAAAAAGATATTGTGCGTACAATGACCTACGGTCGGAAAAATTGACAAAATTGCGGGCTTCTAAAAAAAAAGTTGAATTTTACCCGAAATTTTGGTCGTTTTCGACCTGCCAAAGTTCGATTTTTTATCACATCCAAATACTGGTAGGTCATTGTACGAAAAGCTATAGAGAACATGCCGAAAATAAATTTTAAAAATTTTATAGTGCTGGAATAATTTGTCTCCGAGTAATCATCATTTCAAATATCGATTTAAAATTTTAGTATTGTGACGAACACGAATATGATAGAACAAACTCAAATCGATAAAGAGTGAGTTACAAAGCAGACGATTTATCGAGAAATGCGTTACAGTTTGTTATTTTTAAAAGTACAACCTAACGTAAAATGGAAAAAAAATCGATTTTTTTTTAAAACTCACACCAGGTGTGCCTCCTAACTTTTGGAGCTATGAGATTCAGCTTCAAAACAAAAAAAGCTCTTCTTGGTAATTTTTTGATATCGATAAGCCTTCTTTTCTTAATTCTATAGTGAGCTTCTGCATGTTAGATTAAGACTTGTTGAGTTAGTTGTGCTGAAAAGTCTTTGTTCTGACTGAGAAGTGGTACCACAAACAAAAATGTATATCCTTGCCTTACAGCACTAGTCTTAAATAGAATAATGTCAAAGTTTCATGACATATTATCCAAACGTTCTCAAGTTATTGGACTCACAACGACGCTATCTCTACTGTTTATATTGGAAAAAAGTGAATTTCGATAAATCATTGTTTCCTGGTGTAGTAACCACCATTGATGTAAAGCAACGGCTGGAGAAGTGTTACGGCAAATTTAGTCGTGTAGTAGTAGTTAGTAGATATGGCTCCCAGAGACTATTTCCACTTTCTCAGACTCAAAACGTTGCTCTTTGGAGGAAGATTTCACTCAAATAAAAAAATATATTGGAAACAAGCGCATATTTTGAAGGTATCGAAGTTTCACACTATCGAACCAGTACCAAAAAAAAACACAAATGAATTACTCTAATTGGAGATTATATTGAAAAATAAAACGATTATTTCATATAAAATTTTTTTTTTTTTTTATATTAGGCTGAAGAGTTTTCAGCCCACATAGTACATATATGGGTTTGTTATAAACCTTAAGACTATGTATATATAATATGTACATATGTATGTATATATTTAATGACTTAAGGTTAATGCGCATAGGGCAAATTTCATATTGTGTTTCTTTCTGTCTATTAATGTAATCTTTATAAATGTCGAAAATTGGGTGTGGGAACAGTTTGCTGGGGGCACTTTATCTATTGGACCCTAAGCTCAGTTTAAACATTTCGAGTGCTAGAAAATAATGTTGGCAAAACATATTTTAAGACTGGGAACAGATGCTTAACTGAGAACAGTTTGATGTTTTTATTTGTTAAATATATATTAACGACACAAATATATTTTTGGCTAATAATTTATCTTTTTTAAAATTATTTTCCAATCATTAATAATTTTAAGCATTCCTAAGAACAGTTGACTGCTAGATATTTAAAGCAAAGTGCTTCTATTGATTTTTTTAACGCTTGGAAGTATTAATGAGTTTAATTACTTGAAAAAATATTTTTCACTTGAGAACAGTGGCCAGCTTGTCACATTTTGCTCTGACTATGATTAAATGTAACTACATTTTAATCCTTCACAACCATACTTGTTATCATTTCTTGCATACTACCAAACTAAATCGCCATATAATAACCGTATTTGGGATTGGCGGCCGCCAAACACAAAGAAACGTGAATTGCGCAATGAATTTCGCGGATTTACCGGCGTTCGACGAAGCGTTGGAGCGCACAAACTATTGACAGTTGTACAAACCTCAGGTCAATAAGTGTTCATGCGTCTGACTAACTATTCACAAAGCTAAATTTTGTTGGTATGCATATGTGATGAATGCTTTTGCAATGTCCTCCAGAAATTAAGTTGATAAATCTAAGTGCTTACAAAGTGCAACTAACACATATACCCATATATGTATATATGTATGTATGTATCATATTTTTATGGTGGCCTGTGCGCATTTGACTAACAAAAACCACGGTGTTACAACGGTAAATTGAAACTGACGCACAAAGAACAACTAAAACCTATACAACAAATTGTTTGCGCGCAAAAGCAAAGTGCAATTCCAATTGATTGGTTGTTGGATGGGCGTTTTGAGGCCCAATATAAGTGTGTGGCCGTGTGTGTGTGTGTGTGTGGGCGCGTAGTGTGCTTGTGGTCAGTTCAAGGCGAGTCAATATTTATGCAATTTCGCGCGCAATCACTAAAATACCCGAATTTCGTAAAATATCAAGCGAAAAAAAATGCAACAACTACAAAGTAACAACAATTTTTTCCTTTGTATGTAATCGATTGACGCGTTTGGTCGCGTATACGCCCCAGCGCACCAAGGACAGACCAACGTTATTCATATAACGATATGCAATTTCGCGAACTAAATGCACACACATGCCAACATTTATATGCAGTACATATACAATATATAAAGTATGGAGCGCAAGCCAACTGTGTGAGCGGGGGTGTAGCGGATTTTAGATAGTCTTTTTGTACGCAAAAATAGTGCGAGCTTAACTGAGACGCAATTTCATGCATTTGCCTACATGTGTGTACTCATTTGTATGTATGTTTTTTTTTTTTTTGTTTATATGCAGTTTGATGCGTTTGATTGCGAATTTGTGCAACTTGTGTTGTTCTGCCTGCATTCGCAGTGTATTTTTAAGCCTACCACTAAATATACACGTGTACAAGCGTAGGCATTCGACCAGTAGTAATCCGTTGGAAGCAGGGGGGGAGGGGGGTTGGTCGGGTGAGAAGCTGACAAAGCAGCACACAAAGTTAGCAACAACAGCGCCCGAATGTGCAACAACTCATTGCAAGCTGTCAAATTGAGCTATGGCTGGGGAAAAAT